GGTAAGAAGTGGCACTGGGGTTTGGTCCTGGAGAGCCTGGTTCTAGAGCTCTCAGTAATTCTGCTCATTTTAAAGGTCTAACTTCATCCCACAACTATAGATTTTCTTGAAAGCAAAAGAAAGTTAACATTAATTTTCTTATTTGTTTACATACTTAGAATTTCTTTTAAGAAATAATGAAAACCTTTATAAATCAGTATAGTGACTGTCCCATAGTAAGTACTTAGTATATATTATTATTAACTTAGGCAAATGGATACCTGTAATGTTCATAGCATTGACTTTTAGCAGTTGAGAAGAAAATTAAACCACATTTTAGTTACCTCATATTTCTCAGTTCTAAGAACTAAAAGTCACTTGTTTACAAGATACCCTGCTATGTAGCATCTGTTCAAGATAATTAAACTGTCCAAAATACTGGTCTTAACCTAATTTTTATCTTGCCACCAGGTGGCAGCATGTTACGTAAGGAAGTAATTTAAATATTCTGTTGAAGCCCATTTATTTTCAATATTTTGCCTTAAAAACTGTCCAACCATAATAAAAATAAAATGGTATCTTATGTTCTCCTTTGCCTCCATTCTCTCCAGTCTATTTTAAAGGTCCTGTTAGCACAATATCCGTGAGACCTGCCTTAATCCTGCCCTGCATTCTCCTATCAGTGCAGAAAGTTTTTTTCTTCCATCTTTATGGAGATTTGAGCCGTTGGGCTTAGAATTCTGCCAACTAAATGGTTTTATTCCTACCTAAATGGTTCCTGTTTTTCAGCAACAATAGTTCTCCTCATCTTTGTATCTTCCATGGTACCTACAGAAGTTCTGAATATGTAGCAACAACTTTTTTCTTAATAGAGACAGGGGTCTTAACTACATTGTCCAGGCTGGTCTCAAACTCCCAACCTCAAGCAGTCTTCTTGCCTAGGCCTTCCAGAGTGCTGGGATTACAGGTGTGAGCCTGGCCAGTGACAACAGTTTAATAGGTGCCCTTGGCTAAATGTCAGTGATATGCAAGATACACATTAACATGTGTATTTACTGAATGTTTATTTGAATTACAACACATTTATAGCCCTTTGTGGTTACGTTTGTTTCAACTGTGCTATTGAAGTCCCTGAAATTTTGCCATAAGTTTAGGTATTACCAGTATCATTCAGATTAAATGCTGCCAAACACTGAAAGATTAGTGTTTGAGGTGGAAAGCAAGAGAATGAATGGCTAATGAAGAAAAGGAAGGTAAAGGACTGAACGTGCCAGTTAAAGCCTGGGGAAAATGAAGGGCTAGTGATAAAATGAGAGAGGCAGGCTTCTGATACTGCAACAGAGCACCTGCCACATGGGGAAGCAGGAGGAGCACCAAATTCAGTTGGCTGCAGAGAAATCTGTTTACACTTCATAATCGTGGATCTGCCTAGACATTGTTTCATGGTGCAAACAATGAAATCATTGAAACAAATGAAGTCATTTGACATCAGTTCGTCAACAAATATTTTTTCCTATTCTAAAACCTACTAGTTTTGCCTCCTGCTTGTCCCTTAATGAAGTCTTAAAAGAACTTGCCCCCAAAGAGATGCACATAAGCAAAAAGAAACCAGCAATTTCATGTAAGCCTACCTTACCCTGTAGGTATTTCCTTGCTAAGGGTAATTGAGTTTAACAAAGGCAGTTTAAGTACCTATGCTGTTTTAGGTATTGTGCCAGAGATTCAAAACTACAATATGTTTAATATCTATAGATAAGGTATTTTTAAGGGAATAGGTTAACCATTCAAATTAAACTAATTCTGTGAAGAACATTAGTACTGCCTTGAGGTATTTACCAAGCAATACTTAAAATGTATTTTTGTACTTTATATATATATATGGAATGCAGTGATCTGAAGATGGATTAGAAACATCCATACCTTAAAAAGTTTTTATTTGGGATTGATATTTAATGAATACAGTGAAATGATCAATTTTTAAAAATCCCAGCCAATGTATTGTATACATATATATTTCTCATCTTTTTGGAAATGTTTTGCATCTTAAGTGGAGGAGATTTTGTCTGTGATACCCAAGGCTCTTACCTTAGAACTTTTATTTGACCTCATAAGCCTTGATAGTATTTGGTTAATGTTCATTATATTTAGGAACTCAGCAGTTTCAAAGTCCATAGCCACGTATTTTATTTTTTGTATGTTTGTGCAAAGCCTAGTGTTATTACAAATAGCCACATACTTTTAAAACAGGTATATTAATGTCTACATTTGTCAGGCTGGGTTTCAAACGCCAAGGACTCATTAAAGTTAGTCATTAATCACTTAGTAATATATATTAAATATTAATGTTTGTCATGAAGTATGTAAAACCCATTTGTATTGTATCCTCTATAATATGCTTAGGAGGTAGAAAATATTTGATTTTACTGTCTGTAATGTGTAATCAGAGATTGAACGACCAAGTAATGTAGCATTATCCAAAGATTATTTGTTATTATTTGTTGTATTTCAGTTATAATGAAGTTAATTGCATGCCTTTCAGATAAAAAATACTGTATGTACATCCTCAGTTCATCTGGTACAACTATGCTTAAAAGTGCTTAATAAAGTATTCATTACTATTTAGGTAATAAAATTAGTAGTGACTTATGAAATTTTATATAGCATCACTTTCTTAAGCCCGTTTTTAAAGTGATTTATTACCAGATGGGCAAAAATGCAATTTTTATGTAAATTGACACATTTAATAATAACTTTTGTAGTATAAAAGTGCTTGTTTGTATAAAGTATAACTCACTTATGGGGCCTTGTAGTTCTATGTAATGTTGTAGTGAAATGTGCACATGTGGATGCTCCTGGAAGCACCTCCAGCCCTGTGAATTTATGTATCTGTTGACTTCAGTATTTAGTTAGCTTGATTTCTAAAGCCATCACAGTAATTGACGTGTTATTGGAAATAAAGTTAAGTTTTTCCTTATTTATAGGGATAACCTCAATTTTGAAGAATGTGAATCAATTCATACTTGGCTGAAAGCCAGTTCTCTCTTCAGTTTAGCTCCAGCACATACATGAAAAGCGCACTTGCATCCTAAGTGCCTTGTGAATCTGTAGTGATTAATTCTTCTCATTATTTTGCTGCAAATTCTCATGACCCTCTGTGATGATTCGATCAGCCACTTAGAGTTTATGCATATTCATATCTCTGTGCTCCTGCCGCAGACGTTCAAATCTCCTTCACTGACTGGTGTGTGCTTGGTGCAGTAATTGAGCTGCAGTAGATTGATTACTCTGGGGAGCTGTAAGGCCTTTAAAGGTGAAAACATATCAGTCCTGTTAATTAGGAAACAAAAGCTCTGATGGCAAGTTCAGCAGTCAAATGTTTCCAGTGTAGAAAAGATGAAAGGTATGATTTGTTCCTCTCCATGAATCCTGTTTACTTTTTAAACTTTGAATTAGGTCTGTATCAGTGGTAATGGAGTATAGCTTTCTTTTGTGAATTTTTATAGAATGCTAATTGAAGAGGACTTTACTATATTGATTGGTACTGTTATCTGTGATCTGTCAAATCTGATAGTTTAGAGCCTATTCAGAGTTTGTATATGCCTTCTATAGCATTGGTAATATTTATATAGAATTTCTAAATATTTTACATAGAGAATGCTTGTGTATGAATTTTGGTATTTATAGGCTTAATTTGATCTACAGTATTCCAACACTAGTTTTTTATTTTGACAATTTAATGGCAAAGAAGTTGAGCTGCCTTTTATCTCTTTATCAGAAGCATCCTTTGATTTTGCTCTCTTAAACTATATACTAAATAATATATTATCATGGCAAAAAAGGCCATGTGTGGAACTGTATTCTCCAAAAGTAAGCTAGTTTTTACATGGAGGATTATGCAGTTTACATATGTGTTTTTCTCTGTGTGCTATTCTCATATTCCAATATTCTTTTTTCCTCTCATGGTCATGATGTTTTATTTTGAGATATAATTCACATACCATAAAATTGATCCTTTTAAAATATACAATTCATAAGCTGGGTGTGGCAGCACACACCTGTGTCCCAGCTACTCAGGAGGCTGAAGCAGGAGGATCTCTTTAAATGGGAGGTGGAGGTTACAGTGAGCCGAGATCACGTCACTGCACTCCATCCTAGGTGACAGAGTGAGACTCTGTCTCAAAAATAAATAAATAAATAAACAATTCCATGGTTTTTAGTCTAGTCACAAAGTTATGCAACTATCACCACTATCTAATACCAGAACATTTTAGTTACCCCAAAAAGAAACCTCATACTCATTAGCATTCTCTCCCCATTTTCCCTTCCATCTAGCTTCTGGCAACCAGTAATCTACTTTCTGTCTCCATGGATTTGCCTATTCTAGACATTTCATATAAATGGAGTTGTAGTATTGTTGCCTTTTGTGTCTGCCTTCTTTCATTTAGCACAGTTTTTCAAGGTTCATCCACATTGTAGCATGAATCAGTACTTCATTCCTTTTTATGGCCAAATAATATTCTAATTGAATATCCCAATTTTTTTTTTATTGACTAATGAACATTTCTGTTTTTGCACTTGTTGGTCATTGTGAATAATGCTGTTTGTAATTCTAATTAGCATGTGCATACATCCTTTGTTCTTAATCTTAGGGGGAAGGCTTTCAGCCTTCATTTTTGAATATGATGTTAGGTATAGTTTTTCTTAGATGCCATTCTTTAGATCAGGTTGAGGAGTTCCCTTCTATTTCTATTTGAGTTTATCATGAAATGTTGGATTTTGTCAAATGCTTTCTCTGTATCTATTGATGATCATGTGGGCTTGTTCTTTATTAATATAATGTATTACATTGATTGTTCTTTATTAATATGTTATATTAATATGATCTTTATTTGTTCTTTATGAATATGTATTACATCAACTGACTTTCATATGTTGAACATTATGATATTCTATAGAGCATATATAATGTTATTTTATTGCTTTGGTTTTATATAATATGAACCAATTTCTCTATATTTCAGGCATTTATTAATACAGCAAAAGAAATTTATGAAAAAATTCAAGAAGGAGTCTTTGACATTAATAATGAGGTATATACATATAAATATTGTTGGTCAATATTAATTTAGAATTCACTTCATTGTTTTATAATTTTTTTAATCCTAAAATCAATCATGATAATCATTAACACCATTGGTTTACAGTCATCCAACTGAAAAATTGGTATATGTGGTATAGTAGTTAAATATGTTCTAGTAGAACAACACTTTATCTATGGAAATGGATTAAAGTAAGTGACCCTATCCATTCATTGCAAGCAATGCAAAATAATATAAATCCCCCAAAGAGAAAAGAAACTCCACTTTTATCCACATGACCATATGGTGTCATCTGCTTTGGGAATAATGATCTGGTATATAAATGCGTGTACTATGTACTAATGCAAGATGCTTTCTCTGTTATCTGGTATGAAAGAGGGAAATACCAAATTTGGAAATTACTCCCAATATAGCATAGCATGTTTTCAGGAGACTAAATATATATATCTGTGTGTGTGTGTGTGTGTGTGTGTGTGTATGTATATAATTGGCATTTGACATAGGGTTTTTTGTAATGTTATTTTCATACTGTTTTGGTCAACATGATTAGGATAAAATGTAAAGCTTTGAAGCATCTATTTCAGTGTTCACCAAAGATCATCACTTGACCCACATCCCCACTCTGCATTTATCTGTTTTTATTTCAAAATGTTTATGTGGATGTAGCATACTTATTTTCACATAAATATTTTTGCCATTCTGTATTAAGATTTCTGGCTTCTGAAAGAAAAGCCCTGGTTTCTCCCCAGTTGCACTTAGAAAAGCATTGTGTTAGAAAGCCATTATGTATGTCTGTCTCATCCTATACATTAATGAGGCTCTCTGTTACTTCAGTAGTCTCTGCTAAAACAAACAGCAGTTTGCCTAAGGTTTCCAAAAAGTACATGATTTTTTCATTGTTTAATTTGGAGTAATATAGTTTCTCAATCCTATCTTCTGCGCTTATATGATAGTACTTCTCGAGTTAGTTTAAAGGTGACACCATTCAGAGACTAATGCCATATAAATTGAACAGTAATTGGGCCTCTATCTGAAAGAGTACATTCATTGTTTCTGTCTGGTTTCATATAGTAGCTGACTGCTTTACCGTGCCTTATGCAGCTTTGATTGTAATGTGCTGTCAGGAGCCAACAGGCCGTGCTATTTATTTGGCCTAATGCCAAGGCTGACTCCTTGACTCCTCAAGAAGTTGCTACCAGCCCAGAGGGGGCAAAACCAATGAGCCATAGGGCATGCTTTTTATTAAAGAGGAGTCAAAAGAGCGAAAAGAAACCACATCAGCTGCTGTCAATACTGAGCTAGTGCCAGAAACCCCAAGGCTACTACTGTTGCAGAACAACTGCCAAGCACTATAAATCTGAGATTTACTGTGACGTAAAGTTTCCTTAAGAGCTTAATTTCTGAAGCTACTGTATTACTTTTCTCAAAGTGTTGTATTTTTAGGTAAAATCCACTTGAGGGAGTGAGGGTTAAGACATAAGTGTGAGTTTGATGAATGAAAGAACTACTCTGTGTGTGGGTTCTTGGCAAGCTGCCATGTCTTTGGGGATCATAGAAATTATTGATGACACAGAACACTCATATGCCCTTAGCCTGTACAGCTGATTCAACATGGAACAGAAACACTGTCTAGTGAAAAGATTTTACCTTGTATTAAAGCAGCATGGACTTTGGATATTTTTATGCTTTAAAGATTACTTGCAATAATTATTTTAAACGATTTCTGCATTACGAGAATTTCCTGAAAAGCAGCATTATCCAGTATCTGTTTACCCCGAACCTGGTATGATAAAGAATTACTTTCAGGAACATTTCCACAGTGTTTTTAAAAGGAAGGAACAGCCCTTAAGAGAGATTGTTTTAATTCTTGCTAAAATCTACTTACTGTATTTTTCTCAGTTGTTTGATAAAATTGTATTATAAAGAATTAAATGAGTTTTTTAAGAATCTAGTTAAACTGTATCGTCTGGTTGTGTCTGGTCATATTTATTGTTCTGTTCTCTTTTATTTCAGGCAAATGGCATTAAAATTGGCCCTCAGCATGCTGCTACTAATGCAACACATGCAGGCAATCAGGGAGGACAGCAGGCTGGGGGCGGCTGCTGTTGAGTCTGTTTTTACTGTCTAGCTGCCCAACGGGGCCTACTCACTTATTCTTTCACCCCCTCTCCTCCTGCTCAGCTGAGACATGAAACTATTTGAAATGGCTTTATGTCACAGAAGACTTTAATCCTTCAAATTCTTGTATAACTTTGAATAAATGGTTAATGTTCACTTAAAAGACAGATTTTGGAGATTGTATTCATATCTATTTGCATTTGATTTCTAGGTCAATTGATGTGATTATTTTTGTTAAATGTTGTCTTGTGCCCTTAACTACGAACTGAATTGTATTAAACACTACAAAGTCATCTTGAGTATTTTAAATCGGTTTGTGTAGTTAGGTTTCCCAACACCTGTGGTTACCTAATGTTTAATATTATAGAACTGTCCTCAAAAACTTTGTCAATTTTCAAGGCTATAAGGAACAGAAGGACTCTTTTAATTCTGTATTTATCATTTACTTTCTGTATATATAGTTTAATAACCTGCTTGGGTGTAATTTGCCAAGCTTGAATTCTTTAATGCATTTGCATAAATTCTATACTGTTTAGAGCTTAAAGCTACAGAAGCATTGTTAGGAATTGCTTGGACACTGAATTTTAAACTTTTTGACATTGTTAACAAGCATGTTCATCTTTTCTTGTCACTAGTCCAAGAGAAATATGCTTAATGTATATTACTAAAGGCTTTGTATATGTTAACCTGTTTTAATGCCAAAAGTTTGCTTTGTCCACAATTTCCTTAAGACCTCTTCAGAAAAGGATTTGTTTGCCTTAACGAATATTGTTGGAGAAAAACACAGTATAATGAGTGAAAAGGGCAGAAGCAAGAAATTCCTACATCTTAGCGACTCCAAGAAGAATGAGTATCCACATTTAGATGGCACATTATGAGGACTTTAATCTTTCCTTAAACACAATAATGTTTTCTTTTTTCTTTTATTCACATGATTTCTAAGTATATTTTTCATGCAGGACAGTTTTTCAACCTTGATGTACAGTGACTGTGTAAAATTTTTCTTTCAGTGGCAACCTCTATAATCTTTAAATATGGTAAGCATCTTGTCTGTTTTGAAGGGGATATGACAATAAATCTATCAGATGGAAAAATACTGTTACAAAGTAGAAAAGCTTTAGTAATTTACTCAGTGTGGTGGTTTTATCCTTTTTTTCTTTTTCTCCCTTGGTCTATAATGAAATTGTTATAGCAGTGCAAAATAAAATCCTATGTATAAAAGTGTTCTTTTTTTTTTTATTATGACCACCTCTTTTTTAATGTATTTTTAGTCCCCTTACAGCTTTTACATGTGTTGAAGCATGTTTTTTAAAAGGGTTAGAATGTTTTAACACTCAACCCTTTTTAAAAATTTTGCTAAAATGTGACAAATCTCACTATATTGAAATTCTTTTTGTTGATGGTATAAGCAATGTAAGCAAGTGTTTTCTACTCTTGAACCAGCACAAAAGCACTTATGCCTGAAAAAAAGCATAAAGAAGTTCTAATTCTGAAACTACTTTCATTTCACTCACGGCCTTCAACTTTCTACAGGTCTTCCCTGAAGATTCAGCAATACTCTGTTAAAAGTTTGACAGTACTCCTGTGGGAAATCACCAAATGCTATCATAGTTTTGTTTTAACTATCTCCTTGAGGGCAGAGGGAAAGGTGAGAGAAGATCTATTTTGGTGGGTATTTGTAGTACAGCCTTTTTCTTTCAAGTGGCCATATCAAATACACTGGTCTTACTAACCACTCTCTTTACCAATGAGTAGAAGAAGTTAAGGCAGCTAGGAGAGGTTCTGCTCTATACCAAGAAGAGAATGATTCTTTGGAAATTGTTATTTTTAAGCTTCTGTTAACTTTTCCAGAAGTTTAATGTGTTTCTTTTCCATGCTTTCTCCCCCAATTCTTTTATTTGAAGAAGAGAAATTAATGACAAAAACAACAAACCAGGACATGTATTTTAATACCCTAAGGAAAAGTGGAACCCTCAAATACAACTCCTCCCACAACCACCCTAATGTGCCTCAGTCTGGCGCAGCAGGTGGACTTCTCAATAGTTCATTTCCACATTCTCTACAAATCACATCTACCATTAAGGAATATGTTATGAATCCTTTCTGTGAATTGAGAAAGCAGTGTTATTGTCTATGATTTCCACTCTTTGCTCATTTTATTATCCCTGTCAAATAATGTAATATTGGTACCTGCAGTTGAATTTGTAATACTGTAATTGAATTTTTAGTTGATCTTTGATCAACTTTTATAGCATCTATGGACATAGAAAATCAGTCACTGAAAAAATAAACGCAGCTTTCAGCGTCTCACTCAACATGTAACATTTCAAAATTGTGATCTTCGTAAAGATACTGTTACCATTCGTCTTCCAAATTTAAGACAACCGAATGAAAAGCCAATTTTTTGAAAGAATGTGGCATATAATTAGATATACAACTGAAACAGGATATACAACTGCATACAATTTGTTTTTAATGATATTTTAAAATAGCCTGTTAACAGGAAAATAGTCCCTGTTTATCTGCTAATGGTCAAAAAGGGTTGGGATATAAATCGTACCAAAATGTTTCCAATCACTCAGAAAAACTGACTCACATCTGGCTTTGGAACACCTTAAACATTTATTCTCTCATACATAGTATAGCCGCATCTCAGTTTATTTAGTCCTGAGGTTGGCAGCATGAGGTTTGATTATATGAGTAAAAGATACACAAAGAGATAAAGCTGTTTAATAATAAACAGGAATTGACTGTACAAATAGGTAAACCAGAGTGTCTACCTGTGTTTCTCAAGAGTTTAGGTGTGCTTTATGTTTACATTAAAATGAAGCCTAACACCACGGTAGATCATCTCATCCTCTGTTGGGATGGACCAGGTATTATTACTTTCTTGGTTGAAGTCATGATAGAGAACTTCATTTTATTTTGTTTATTTTATTTTGGGAGACAGAGTCACTCTAGTCCCCTAGGCTGGAGTGCAGTGGTGCCATCTTGGCTCACTGTGACCTCCATCTCCCCAGGTTCAAGTGAGTCTCCTGCCTCAACCTCCCAAGTAGCTGGGATTACAGGCACCTGCCACCACACCCTGCTACTTTTCGTATTTTTAGTAGAAGTGAGGTTTTGCTGTGTTGACCAGGCTGGTCTCGAACTCCTGTCTCAGGTCATCTGCCCGCCTCAGCCTCCCAAAGTGCTGGGATTACAGGCGTGAGCCACCGTGCCTGGCCAAAAACTAAGTGTCAGTCTATGTATTAGTATGAATTAGTTTTACAAAATTATGAGGCCAATTCTTAAACATTGAAGAACAAAGTGCCAAACTCCTGATAGAAAAATGGAGGAAAATGAGCAATTTACAAGAAAAGATATAAAATGTCCCTAAAATGCATTTTTAATTCAAACATAATGTAAGTGATGGATACATTAATTTGCTTCCCTCTAGTAACCTTCTATTTATGTGTATCCCATAACATGTTGTGTACTTTTAAACACAATAAAATTTATTTTTAAAAATTCAAACATGCAAATTAAAGCTAAGATGCCATTTCTCACCTATGAGACTGGAAGAAATGTCAAATACAATGCCACCTTGTATTGGTGAGGCACCTTTGTGTGTTGCTGGTAGAAGTGCAAACTGGAACTACCTTTCTGGAGGGGAACTGGACAATACCTAATAAAATTACATATACACTTGCTGTTAGCCCAGAAATCCCACTTGTAGGAATCTGCCCAAGTGATAATTCTCCAATAAAGCAAAAGCTCCATATGCACAAGGTTACTTTCTGCAGCATTGGTTGTAATTAGAAATTATTGGAAATGAGTTACATGTCATTTCCACTTATAGTGATTCAGTAAACTATAGGGATTCAATGAACTATGTCCATCCACACAGTGGAGTCCTACACAGCTATAAAGAAGGATGAGGAAGAAGATCTCTAGAATACACTAGAAACTAGTTACAAACACTGGGTGGGTACAGGGTGAAAAGTAACAGGGCTGGGAATAGGATGGTTGGTACAAGAGAATGTTGCTTCTTTCAGGGTACATTTTTTGTATGGCTCTGACTCAACTATGGTTATGTTTCACATAACCCAAAACATAATTAAAGTCAACCATGAAGTGCAGGAACTCGGTAAAATACAAACTATTAATGAACTTGTCAAATGAGTAACATCACACTGAAGGGGTAGGGAAGAAAACCAACATATATAACTTTGGAAAATAGTATTATCACTGTTTACTGTAAGACTGAAGACAAAATGAACGATCACAAAGGCTGTAGCTAGTAAAGGGGATGGGTTAGCAATGCAAAGCTACCTTTCACATAGACTGAGCAAATAAGTAAATACATTGTGGATAATGAGAGCAAAGTTCCTCATCAAAAATGCATTGCAAATAAGTTGAGAAAGGCTAGAGTGAACCTTGTGGTGGTAGGTTGCAATTGAGGAGATCATGAACTCGTGGGTTTTATATGTACAGATGCACCGTGAGTAAACATGTTTCTTCACCTTTGCTGAGAGGGCCCAGTAGCAATGAGCATAATGCCTACTGCCCATTACTGGTTTCTAAATAGCATTCTCTAATAAAGGAAACTAGGGTTCATTAGAAAAATGATTGATTTCCTGGGTTGGGGCAGTGAAATTAGAAAATGAGCCTGGAATATCCTGCGATACCAGAGAAAAGTAAGGAATTGTTCGTAAAATGATGGGGCAGAGGGGAGTCAGGCCAAAGGACACTAACTAACGTGCTAGTAATGGATCGTAAACCGGGGAGTGAGATAAATATCCATAAGTTTATATTAATATGAATGATTAAGTAGATGGGAAAGACGCAGCTCTTCCTTACATTAGCGACCAGTTAGTAAAGATAAAAGGGATGATGTAAACAGAAAATCTACAACACAGTCATTGTTAAAGGCAGGAATCAATACTAAAATTCGTGGGCAAAAGCCTGACAAAGGCTATGCATACAGTCTGAGTATCTCCTCACAAAATATTATTGCAAAAGAAGAAATACAACAGTGGAGAGACCTGGCAGACACCATGGCTTATCAAGTGATTAGGAAGATGTGAGGATGCCACGTACTTCCCAATGGGATGCCCTGAGAAAAACACTATTCCATGGCGAAAAATGGGTCACCTCAACCCAGTCATGAGGAAACCTGTCACCCAAATTTAGCAACATTCTACAAAGTATCCAACACTTCACAACTGGGCATCATGAAAGTTAAAGAAAGAACGAGGAACCGTCAGAGATTAGAGGAGATAGGGAGCCATGGCAACTAAATGCAGTGTGGGATGCTGGATCCAGGAAAGGGCATTAGTGGGAAAACCGGTGAAACAGGAATAGTGTCTGCTGATTCATTAGCAGCATTTTAATCAGTGTTAATTTCCTGGTTCTGATCATTGTTCTATGGTTATGTAAGAGGCTAATATTGGCTGGGCACGGTGGGTCATACCTATAATCCCAGCACTTTGGGAGGCCGAGGCAGGTGGATCACAAGGTCAAGAGATTGAGACCATCCTGGCCAACATGGTTGAAACCCTGTCTCTACTAAAAATACAAAACTTAGTTGGGTGTGGTGGCGTGCACCTGTAGTCCCAGCTATTTGGGAGGCTGAGGCAGGAGAATTGCTTGAACCCAGGAGGCGGAAGTTGCAGTGAGCCAAGATTGTGCCACTACTGCACTCCAGCCTGGTGACAGAGTGAGACTCCATCTAAAAAAAAAAAAAAAAAAAAAAAAAAAGCTAATATTAGGGGAGGTGCATGACAAGTATATGGAAACTTGGCGTAGTTTGAGACCAACCTGGGCAACACAGGGAGACCCCATCTCTACAAACAAAAAAACTAGCGTGTGTGGTGGTGTGCACTCATGGTCCCAGCTACTCAGGAGGCGGAGGTGGGAGGATTTCTTGAACCTGGGAGGTTGAGGCTGCAGTAAGCCGTGATAACAGCATTGCACTCCAGCTTTGGTGACAGAACAAGACACCATCTTAATAATTTTGCAACGTGGTTATCTATATTTCTAAATATATATAATTTTTTTTAAAGCTCACAGTGAAAGAGTTATAATCCATGGGCTGGCAAAATGTAAAAGTCTGACATCAAATGTTTGGATGTTGGCAAGGTTGTAAAGCAAAGGAAATGCTCATATCATATACTACTGGAAGGAAAGCAAATGTGTGCAACCACTTTAGAAAATAGCCTGCAAACCCTTCTCTCAGAACATGC